GGCGCCACCTATTTTTTCTTCTGCCGGTTGAAAAACAAAGTAAACAGTTCCTGAGAATGAATCTCGATTTTCTGCTAGGTATTTAGCCGCACCAAGTAACATCGTGGTGTGTCCGTCATGACCACAAGCATGCATGATACCAAATATCGTGGAAACATATGATACATTGTTCTTCTCAATAATTTCAAGAGCATCCATATCAGCGCGCAGACCAATAGAACGATTACTTGGTACCTTACTCTCTAATGTGCCGACTACACCCATACTACCGACTCCTTCGGTGACAGTGATACCCCATTGTTTAAGCTTAGTAGCAACCAGAACAGCAGTACGTACTTCTTTCATAGCCGTTTCTGGATGAGCGTGAATATCCTGACGGATATAAGTCAGTTCAGCTTGCATCAGACGCAATCGATCAAGAAGACGGTTGCCCATTCGTTGTTGATTTCCAGTATTGGAAGCTACATCGTTGAAAAAAATGACTAACGCAATGCATAAAAGCAAACTTAAGAGAGAAAAATGCATATCTTCACAAAGTTTGATCTTGATTATCAATGACAATGTGTAGTCAAGACGAAAGAGGATTACTGACACAGTAGTATAAATATCATCTTTCTGATATTGTCAAAGCCAGAAGATAAATATTCTTGTTATTTTGTCAATATTGACAAAGTTAGTAAATCCATAGCAAAAGAAACACTTCTTATTGCGCACATACATTCATTAGAATGTATGTAAATATGGGGTGTTAGAATCAAAGTCGTTCTTGATTGGAATTCAATTAATAAAAAGGGCAAGGCTTCTTTTTAAGCATGCTGTGAAAAAGGTGTGGATGTTGTTCATATGTGTAACCAGAACCTCATTTACCTCCACACTTCTACCTTACACAGGATATACACTCACACTTTTATAGTTCTTTGTTCCAATTTTGTATAAATATACAAAGTCACAAAAAGGCTCTTCATTTTTGTGTACTCAAAAAGTGAGTATTGTGTACTCAAAAAGTGAGTACACTCTAGATTCGGTCAGTATGCCCGTCCGTCTGTTAACACGATAACTTTTGAAAGGAGAGTCCAAACGCGATGAAATTTTCTACACAGTTCAATCTTAACAATGTCTCGGTCGAGTTCGAAGATGAAAAGAA